GCCACGGGGCTCTGCCTCCTGGTCCTGCACCACAAGCTCCCGGACCTCAGCACCCACCTGAGAAGCCCAGGCAGCGCCCCAGGCTGGACAGGGCCACAGTGGGCCCCTCGACAGGCTCGGTCTCCCTCGCTGCCCCGTACGGACGTCCACCCAGTGTGACAACCGCCCACCAGCCAGCTCCAGGGAGTGAGGACGGGGCCGAGCCAGCCACACTGCCGAGGAGCCCAATCATGGCGGTGGGTCCCCAACACCCGTGGCACCTTTTCAAATTAAAGATCCCGCCCCAGCCACTCCGAGACTACCATGCAGGGGTCTGGGCGCAGCTCAGGAATGGGCCTGTGACAGGCACAGCCCGAGACGGGAACACGGTGGCCCACGCGTGCTGGAGGCCCAGCCCCACTGTAAGGGGGGCCTCAGTCCCAGAGCCGCCTGCAGAAGACGGCCCCCGGCACCGAGCCCAGGGGACATGCCGCCCTCCATCCGTGTGAGGGTCTCCCCTGGCCTCCCACCCTCCTGGGGCCGCAACTCCGGAGCCCAGCCCAGCTCTGCCTCTCCTGATGGGCACCAGCACTGACGGGGAGGGCCCTCCAGCCCTGTCCTCCGAGGCCCTCCCCTCTGAGACCTGGGGTGTGGGAGGGGCTCCCCAGAGAAGCCTGCTCAGCGGAGGTGTGGCCTCAGGGGAGCCCTTCAGGCCTGAGAGCACCTGGTGCTGCTGCCCCACAGCTCAGGGGACAGACAAGGCATCCCCTCACCCAGAGCCCAGCCCACGAGACGCACGTCCTGGACAGGAGGGCCTGCCCGGCTCAGGCCAGCCCCTGCCCCTGCCTCTTCCTGCAGGTCAAACCCTGCCCGATGAGCCTGGAGAGGTGTCACTGCTGTCCCCACAGCCCTGCCTCTGAGGGAACCCATGCCCGGGACACGCTAGGTGCGGCCTCTGGGTGCTCCCACCAGCCTGCGGGACCACTTCTCTCCCCTGGAGCCCCACACCCGCCCTTTCTCAGAAGTCACCCAGGCCCAGGCAGCTGCCACCGTGTGCTCCAGGGACCCAGTGTCCAGGGCCAGGGCAGTCCACATCCTCCCGCCCACCGCCCAGCAGCCCGGCAGCCCTGGCACCCCCGAATGAGGGGCTTGGGATCCCTGGACCCCCTGGGGCCGGCGGTCTGGCTGCAGGGCAGGCCCGCAGCTCACCTGGCCCTGGGCCACCCTGTCAGAGAGCGGCTGAGAACGGACCAGGGTCGTTATAGAAGTGGTGGCACTGCCTGGTCAGGTTCACAGTGCTGGGCACGGGCAGAAGCGCGCGCCAGTGGTCAGGGGCCCAGCAGGCCACCGGGGCCCGGGCCAGGGCACTCCCTGGCACCCACGTCACACCCACACTCAAAGCCCCTACTTCTGACCTGAAGTCCTCCCTGGGGACTCGCCCGAGAGCCTGCCAGCACCTCTCCTGCACTCACACCTCCTGCTCTGCCCCAGCCCCGGGCCTCTGAGAGGGCTAAGGAGTCAGAGCGGGTGCCCCAGGCAGGGCCAACCCGCAGCAGCAGCCCAACCCGGGCCACCACAGCCTGGGCTAGAAGTCCACACAGAACCAGGCCTCGCGGGGCCAGGCCTGGCTGGGAGGCCCAGGACCCAGGCTCGAGCAGGTAGCTCCCTGGCTGCGCTGCTCGGATGGTGCAGGCCGCTCCGTGCGGCCCTCCTGCTGTGCTGTGAACGGCACTCAGCACAGGAGCTGCAGGAGCCCTGAGCCCAGCACTCAGCCCCCTGGCTGTCTCTGCCTGCAGCTCCTGGCAGTCACCTGCCCCAAGAAGGACCCCCCTCCATGAGCAAGGCCTCCGTGCTCCCACCCCTTTCAGCCATAGCATCAATGGAGTCAGGAGGCACTGTGAGATGATCACCCTGCTGGGACCATTTGCATGTGGCCCCAATACATGCTCAGAGATGGATGAGGGATGAGGGATGAAAGCATGGGTGAATGAATGAGTGAGTGACAGGGAGGCTCAGGGCCAATCTCTCTGGCCAAATGCCTGGCTCTTGAGGCAGAGGCACAGGGTGTGGGATGGAGGGAAGGCCATGCACGCCCCAAGAGAGCAAGAGGAGGGGAGAGCTGGGCCGCGGCGGCCGCGGCTGACCTGGGAGGGGGTGGTCACGCTGATCTCAGGGACAAAGGTGTCACCAAACAGGCTGAGGATCTGCTCCTGCTTGACCTCCTTGGATGGGGTGTGTTTGGGAGGCGGAGGGACGGGTGGGCCTTTCCGGAGCTGAGTCCACAGCGGGTGAGGGGCCGCGCAGGGAGCACAGGGGTTGGGGGGAGACAGACAGAGACAAAGCCAAGGTTAGTCACATACAGGCCACGGCCCCACCCAGGCAACTGGGGAGGAAGAAGCAAGGAGTCACTGCTCCCCAAGACAGACCCCAGGACCACGCCACCCTCCCAAGGGAGGAGGTCCAACACGCTGTACAGAGAGAAAGGAGAAAAGGGAGGGAGAGAGGGAAGGGGGAGGAGGTGAGAGAAGAGAGAAGACAAAGGGAGTGGCCCAGGAGGGCTCGCCAGGTGAGAGGCTGGGAAGCAGCTGGGAAGCAGCCACCCTGCAGCCTCACCCTGCACCACTCCAGGCCCCGCTGCAGAGCTCAGCTCAGCCTCCACCTCACCTGCGCCCGGAGCAGGGCCCGGAAGAGACTACAGAAGGCAGTCACACCCCTGCCACCCAGAGCCTCGGGCACCTCAGAGCGCCCGCCTCCCAGGCGACTGTCAGGCTTCCACGCTCGGCCACGCGGCAGTGCCCTCAGAGGTGGGCTCTTGTCACCGGCACCGTTACCATCTGTGTCCTCATCACTGCTGGGGGGGGGTGAGGCACAGGCCCAGCAGAGCTGCTGCCAGGAGTGGGGGGCAGGGACAGCCCAGCCCTTGGAGGGATGCTGCGCCCTCCCTCCCCTTCCAACTCCCGGGAAGCGGCTGCAGAAACCGCTGCAGAAAACAACTGGAAGCCTGGTGGGCAGGGGCCGCTGGACCCGCCCTGACCCCGCCCACCCCGCCCAGCCCTCGCCGGGCCCTTTCACTGTCCCATGCAGGAGAGAGAAGGCGAGGACAACGCGGTGGCCGCTCTGAGGACCTGGTGCTCGGGGTGAGGGCCGAGCCTGTGTCCGACATGGAAGGGAAGATGGAGGAAGGGGCGGGGCCGTTGCTGCGGGCCGGGCACAGTGAGGCGGAAAGAACAGGAAGAGGCCCCTGCAAGGGCCAGGCCATTAAGGTGAGCCTGGGCCGGGCAGGGCCAGAGGGAGAACAATGCGGCTCAGCCCTCTCTGGGCAAAGCCTCTGGCTCCAAACCTGCCCAGGCGCGGGCAGGAAACAGACCGAGGAAAGAGGGGGCAACAGTGAAGCAGGAAGACAAGCAGGAGAGGAGACAGGCCACGGAGAGACCACGCCTACCTGAGACGGGGACTTGGGCAGGGCAGCCCCGGGGGTGGCCGCAGCGGCCATGGCCAGCTCGGGCTCATGGTTGACTCTGACCTCAGGGGTGGCCGCAGGGGAGCCATCGGGCGGCGGCGAAGGGCTCTTGTTCTCTTTTGCAGGGGCATTGTCACTGCGGAGGGAAGACAAGAGGGTGTCCAGGGGAGGGAGGTCCTAGCGCCGAAGAGGAAGTGTGCAAATCTGTAGGTGTGTGTGGAAGGGGTGTGCACGTGCGGATGCCCTGGGGTCCGTGTGGATGAGAACATGTATGTGTGTGAGCATGTAGAGCAGTGTGTGGGACAGGTGTGCATGTGCAGATGCCCTGGGGTCCGTGTGCATGAGAACACGTGTGTGTGTGAGCATGTAGAACAGTGTGCGGGAAGGGTGAGCACGTGCGGATGCCCTGGGGTCCGTGTGCATGAGAACATGTATGTGTCTGAGCATGTAGAACAGTGTGCGGGAAGGGTGAGCACGTGCGGATGCCCTGGGGCCCGTGTGCATGAGAACGTGTATGTGTCTGAGCATGTAGAACAGTGTGCGGGAAGGGTGAGCACGTGCGGATGCCCTGGGGCCCGTGTGCATGAGAACGTGTATGTGTCTGAGCATGTAGAGCAGCGTGTGGGACAGGTGTGCATGTGCAGATGCCCTGGGGTCCACGTGCATGAGAACATGTATGTGTCTGAGCATGTAGAGCAGTGTGTGGGACAGGTGTGCATGTGCAGATGCCCTGGGGGCCACATGCATGAGAACACGTGTATGTGTAAGCATGTAGAGCAGTGTGTGGGACAGGTGTGCATGTGCAGATGCCCTGGGGGCCACATGCATGAGAACACGTGTATGTGTAAGCATGTAGAGCAGTGTGTGGGACAGGTGTGCATGTGCAGATGCCCTGGGGGCCACATGCATGAGAACACGTGTATGTGTAAGCATGTAGAGCAGTGTGTGGGACAGGTGTGCATGTGCAGATGCCCTGGGGGCCACATGCATGAGAACACGTGTATGTGTAAGCATGTAGAGCAGTGTGTGGGACAGGTGTGCATGTGCAGATGCCCTGGGGTCCACATGCATGAGAACACGTGTGTGTGTGAGCATGTAGAGCAGTGTGTGCATGTGCAGATACCCTGGGGTCCGTGTGCATGAGAACACGTGTGTGTGTGAGCATGTAGAGCAGTGTGTGGACCCGGGTGTGATGAGTGTCCACATGGACTCACTGGGAACATGTGATGTGCCCACGTGTGAGCTGCGTGTCCCTGTACCTGAGGACTGGCAGCAGCACCTGGGGGAGCACTGAGCTGGAGGCCTATGGTCCCCAGGGGATGGGGCAGGTCCCGAGCCAGCACCAGGGGCAGCCCAGTAGCCTCACAGGCCCGAGCTCCCCAGCAGGAGGAAGCCAAACATCCTAGAGGCAAAGTGAGTCCCCACAAGCCACACATCAGCTCCTCCCGGCTGCCACTGAGCTGGACCCAAAGGCCTCTGGCTGCCTCCCGCCCTGCCCCCACTCACACCCCAATGCCTGGCTCCCCGCCCACGCTGCGCCCTCTGCCCACGCCACGCCTCCGCCCACACCACACCATCACTGTCTCCGAACCTTTGCTCCCAGGGGCCCTTCCAGGAAGACCAGGGACACCACCCGGAGGCCATAGGCGGTGGGAGACAGCGGGGTGCCCCACAGCCCAGGAGTGGGAGGGAGGGTGAGGTCTCTAAGCCACATGGTTCGGCACCGAGAACCAGGCAGCTGTGTGCACAGGCCTCTGCGTGGAGGCAGAGGGCCGAGTGCATGCTCAGATGCACTGAGACCAGCCACTAGCCAGGGGGCAGTGTACATCCACATTCGAGTGGAATCAATTTAAGAACCCAGCTCCTCAGGCCTCTGGCCGGGCCTGCGGTGCGTGGCCGCCTGCGCAGGGCGGCTCTAGAAGGGCACAGAGAAACTGGTCACCTGGGGAGGGGCCTGGGTGGCGGACAGCCTGACACTGCTGGCACTTTCCCCGTTAGTGAGTGAGTGTGTCCTGGGAGGAGTTGCTCCTTGAAGATCAGATGTGAGGACAGAGGCAGGCGTACACCACTTTAGCACTGCCCTGCCCGCGCCTCCCAGGCCCCTTTCTGGTCACTGGCCACTGTTAACGGTCGGGTCTGGCCCGGCCAATGCACACACGGCTCAGGCTGCCTGCCCGCCATCCAAAAAAAAGCACCTGGGCTTCTTCCTGCGCAGCCGGGAGAACAGTTTAGCTTTCTTTCTGTGGGGACGGACGGGACGGAGGCCTTCACCGGGGGAAATGTGGGATGCGGGGCTGGCCTGTCCTCACCCCTCATCAGAGCCACTGACATGGGGGCTGGGCAGAAAGCAGTCTCCCCTAACACCCTGGGGTCATGAGAGGCCTGGCCGCCTGGCTGTCATGGTCCATTCCCCGGCCCGGGGTGGTGCTGACGAAACGAGCGGAGCCTGGTGTCTGGAAGGGGTGGGCTCGGCGGCCAGGGCGGCGCTGGGCCAGGTGAGCAGGCCTCCTGTGGGAAGCAGCTCACAGCCTCCAGCCCTCCCTTCCCCTCCGGTGACAGGATGGTGATCAGGATGGCCACTGCCCGCCCCGCCCCCACTCAACCTGGCCGCTGCACACACCTCGGCCAGCAGTGCAGTAGGGAGGCGGGTGCTCCCTGCAGGCACCTGGGAAGTCGCCCTTGGCCTTCATTCCACCGCCACTGCACCCCAGCGCTCCTCAGCCCAGGGCACGTTTATATTATTTTCAGAGAGGGGCAGTAGTATTCACTGAATACCTCCGTAGTCCTAGGTAACCCCGATCACCCAAGAAGCAGTCAGTCACCCCTCCTACAGACGAGGAAAGCGAGGCTCCTTGTGGTCCCCACTCTGGGGGGTGATGACCGACAGGGCAGGAAGGAAACTCCCAGACGCCCTGCTGTTTCCCACGGGCCACAGAGGGAAGACCTTTCCCTCCCCTCCTCGCTCGCACGTGCCCCTCAGAAAACGGGGGTCTCCTTGGAGGCGGTGTGGCGGGAACAAGGCCAGCCTGGCCAGGGTGCAGAATGCCAGCCTGGGGACTCGGCTTCCTGGGAGCAGGGGGCAAGGAGGGCGCCACCCACTCTAAGAGGACTGCTCACTTCCCAGAAGCCCCACACTTGGGGGTCAGGCCCCGTCCCCCCTGCCCCCACAGGCACAGCCCCGGCTGCCTGCCCCGCAGATGAGGATGTTGGCCAGGCTCAGGTGGGGTGCAGACTGCCCTGAGAGGGGCCTCCCCATGGGAGCACGGGGTTGGCAGTGCCCTCACCGGGAAGGCCCAACTGGGGCGACCACAGCAGCAGCCCTGCCCCAGCCTTGCCCGAGTGCAGAGCCACAGAGCACACCCACGCCCACGCCCACACCCCTCCCCACCAGCAGCAGAGAACGGCGCACCTGGGCTGGGCCTTGACCGTGAAGGTGTTGCTCCCATGCTGCTTCTCCAGGCTGACCAGCACATCGTTGAGGCTCTGGTTGAGCTGCAGAGGGAGAGCACAGGTAGGGGAGCCTCGGGAGCCACCAAACAGCCACTCTCCCAACGCCATCTTGCCTCTCCCTCTGAACCCCTTCCCGCACCGGTCCCTGCGGAAACAGCTCTGCTCCCCCATGAGGGGGCGCTGCGAACCCACAGCCCAAACCAGGAAGCCAAGGGGCGAGATGGAGGCAGTGGCTGCCCTGCCACAGCCATGGTTTCCAGGGACCATCTTTTCTTTCCTTTCTACTCGTAGAGATTCCTCAAAGGCCACACCGAGCTGGTCCTGCTTTAAAACGTCTAAGCTGTTCTTGCAAACTAGCTGGGGGTCTGAACTGTGAGGTCTTCTTGCCCAGACGCTTCCAGGCCACGCCACCTGCCAGGGAGGTCCCCGCGGCACAGGCAGGGCGCCCGTGCATGCAAGTCTCACTACTGAGAATCGTCCTCTGTCCTGGCTGATAGGAAGCTCAGAGATTCATCCCCCTCCTACTTAACACACACATCTTCTCCCCCAAACCACCACTTTCTGTTCCCATCTCCTAGGCTGTCTCGGGTCTCTGAAGGGAAAAGGGAAAGAAGGCAGAAAGGGGAAGTCCCACGCGGCGTGACGCGGGGACTCGGGGAAGGCCCATGCGTGCTGCTCCCTCTGGCCGGGCTGGGCCGCAGCATCCCTCCACTGCTCCAGGCCCAGAGCCAGAGAGACCCGCTCAGGGCACGGCGGGAGGAGGCCGCCAGGCGGGTCTCCCTCAGCGCTGCCCTCTAACTCCGGTTAAACTAACGTGAAAATAACACAATGGGGATGGAGGCCAATCAGACCCCTTCTCACACCAGTTCAGGCAGACAAAACAGTCCTGGTTCAATATCTACGACACGTGAAAGGATATTAAAAACTGAGAAGATTCTCGCAATTGATTTATTTGCCTACAACCTGGGAAGCCACCACCATCTGACACAGCTCCCTGGGCCAAAGCTGCCTGCGAACAGGTTACAGAGTGGGCAGGGGAGCGGGGCGGGCGTGGGCCCTGGCGCTCCACCCACAGCCCCCAGCACCACACAGCTCCCATGTGCAGGGCAGC